TCAACAACAAGTATAGTTAGCCGTATGTTATAAGGGTTAACTTACAAGTATGTTTAGCTTTCCTTGGAAGAGAGAAGAAACTGTGGCGACTAATTTTTCCCGCTCTGCTCGAGAGGAAACGTCACAAACTTAAGCTGTGACATGAAGTTTCAAGCTAAGCCATTGCTGAAGGGATTTATCAAGATCAGCTTGATTCCGAGCACAAGTGTGCACCTTTACTCCGAGCCTGGCCAGCTCTTCTACTATCGCTTTCCTGATATATTAATTCATATATCATAATCAATGATTGTTCAAATGTTAAGAAGGGAAGAGAAGGAAAAAATCATTAACTAACCCGATTCCTTTAGAGCCACCGGTGACCAAAGCAGTTGCTCCATGAAGAGACCATCTCTTCTCCATTTCCATCTCTCTCTCTCTGGTTCACCACAAGCTTGCTGTTTGGGGCTTAATCTAAAGGTACTGGGAAGCTGCTCAGATATTTATGGTGCAGCCGATGCAGAAAATTGTTCTAATTGTAGGGACCCACGATGACGCACGTAACAAATGTAGCGTGGACATCTGTCTATACACGCAAGCGTTGGTTAAGTTGTCAGTTGTCACTATGTAGTGTAACAGCCAGCAAGGATGATATTTCCCAAAAAGGCAAAAAAAAAAACAAAAAACAAACATCCAAGCCATGAGATGGCAATTTGACTCAAATTTACCATTTCATACAGGATTTAAGGCTGCTTTCTGCCAAAAATGCTGTTCTGCGTGGAAGAGATGAATCAACCACCCAATTTGACACTACATCTACGGGAGCAACTTGATCATCTTCTTTTACTCAAATATATGAAAATTAGATACAAGATTTGTATACACAAAAATACTTCTCAATCTATTCAAAAACAGCCAGAGCCAACACTCAGCTAAACAGAGAAGCTTAAAATTGCTAATTTAGAAATGCTACCCTTCAAATAGATAAGAACAATTAATTTCTCATAACAGTAAACAATTCACCTCAAAGATCTAAAACAGATCTTTAGAAATATATATAAATTAATTCTGCAAGAAGAGCAATTCAGAAATCAGGAAAAGCCAGATAACCGAGAACACTCTAAACTGAAAAACAATACTCCAGTGCACCAATCATGATCTAAATCAGATCTTTAAAAATAGGAGCAGCAGGGAAACTACAAGGAGAAAAAATATACATGCACTTTCAGCATAAAACCAAGGAACAAGATCTTACGGTACAAACCGACTTCCAACCGACCATCAAAACCTATTATCTTTCACGGAGATGAAGACCAAGTTAGAGGAGAACAAGCAGGGTTCATCTTCTTCACACACAAAAATACCAAGATTTCATATCCCCACATTTTCTCTCTTGCACTAGAAGCCCAAATCAATCGTTAACAAAGACCTAACCCTTTCTTGCTCTCACACAGGAAAGAGCTTACCACACAAAACCGGTGACTAATTGACTGTCACATACAATTGAGTTTCTCGACGAAGAAGAACAAGATAGAGAGGAGAAACAAGAAAAATTCACCTTCTAAATAAAACCAAGGATTTCACCACCTTTCTCTTCCACTCTTTCGCTCAAGAAGCCAAACACCAAAGCCCTAGATCTCTCGGACAGATTTGCTCTCACACCTGAACCAAAAAGCCCAGCTCTATGCCTCTATATTTCCCTTTCTTTTCAAAGCCTTATCTACGGTTTGCCTCGATGGGTATTATTAAATTAGAAAAGCAAAACAACTAAATCAAGGTAAGCAAGAATAATGATAAGCTCAAATAAAAAAATACTGAAATAGAATATTACAAATTTTAATATTCTTATGACTGCTTATTAAAAGTTTATAGAATATTCTTATTAGCCTATAAATAAGTAAAGTATTGTAGTAAGAAGCATATTGATGAATATTATCTCTTCTTGAAGTTTTTAAACTTTGTGTTTATGCCTGGATTGAGATTTCCTTCAAGCAGATCCTACTCTTCCGACGATCACCACATCAATCACTTTGTATGGTTTTATGAAAAAAAATAAAAAATTAAGGCCATAATTAGCTAGTAAACTGTAATCTAATTGTTGCGGGCTAGAATATACGCGGCGGTAGAGTTTTTAAATTTCCGTCCGAGCGTTTGTACGAATATTCAGCACACAAAAAGGAAAGGAAATGAACACCAGCATTTTTACGTGGAAAACCCAAAAGAGGGGAAAAACCACGGGGCCACGCCCAGTTGAAGTAATTCCACTAGTGTTTGTTTGAAGTACAAAGGCTGATTCGTCCCACAAGTTAGGACGATCAGATTACAATCAATTTCTTCTAAATTGAAACAAAGTTACAAAGTTCTGCAGAATTCCAGCGTCTCCCGAATATCCGGCAGAATTCCGGCGTATTCAGGCGGCGGAAAGAACTCCGGCGGTGGTCGAGGAGGAGCTGATTCTCCTTCCCTTCTTCTCTTCTTCTTCTCTCTCTTGCTTGGGTCCCCTCTTATGAGAAATGAGGGTCTATTTCGTATTTCCGAGACGCTCAGTTTGACTATAAGCTTGCTGAAATCGGAGTTCGGGTGTACCCGGATTTAATTTCTGAAGTTTCCAACTTGATTTTTTGCGCCGAGATTCGTGCCCGATCAAGTAATTTCATGATGATGTATCACTAATAATCCTCAATTGTTCGCTTCATCTTTTACATTAGCCGAGCACCCAAAACTGTTGAATCCTTCAGCCATCTCAAAAGCGCCGCTGCTTACAGCAAATATAAGGTTGTAAAATGACAGGGGAAAGGAAACACAACTGTATATTTTTCATTACTCTCCCAAAACACCAATGTACAAAATATATGGAGTTAAGGTAGTAGAAATAGCAGCTATAACAAATTGGTATGAATAATCCGTTGATGATTACAATGTAAGTCAGAAAAGTAAATTTATGCACAAGGGTATACGTAGTAGGGACATGCACTCATAACTTATTTGGAGAAGCCAACTTGATTATCACGGGCTCACGCCCCCACAAATTAGCCTTATTCTCTGAATTGGTTAATTTGCTACGAAGTTGCAGAAAATGTGGAATGAAAAGATTTTAGTAAATATATCAATAAATCGTTCATTTGTATGTATGTATATGTCTAATACGAAGAGTCATATTTTTTATACAATCACGAACAAAGTGAAAACCGCTTTCAATATGTTTAGCTGTGCGTGAAAAATAGGATTATTTGCAATTGGAGTTGTTGATATATTATCATAAAATAAATGTGTTGAAGATAGAGAATTTATTTAAAAATTTTGAAGAAGCCGACATATCCAAATGATACTTGTAGTAGATGTAGCAATTGCTCAGTATTCAGCCTAAGTAGAAGATCTAGCAATAGTTTTCTATTTCTTAACTCACAACAAAACTAATGTGTTGTCAAGATAAACACAAAATTCAGTGGTAGACTTGCGATCAATGGGATCACTAGCCCAATAAGAATTAGAATAAACAAATAAGGAGAGATTGTCAGGTATAATAAGTAATCCAAAAAACAAAGTATCTCTAATGTATTTAAGCAACCTTTCAACAATTTATAATCTCCTTTAAATGGTCTATGCATATGCTGACATAATTTATTTTCTATAAAAGTGGTATTCGGCTTTGTGTTGGTCAAATATTGCAATGAGTCCACAATATGTTTGAAATGATCTTAGTTCATAGGCAACAGAGCAGGTGAAGTATCCAACGACACTTTTGTGTGAATTGGAGAAGCAATGGTCATGCGCTTGAACATTCCAGCATATTGAAATAAGTTTGTTGCATACTCTGATTGTGACAAATGCAAACTATTAGCAGTATGAATCACTTGCATGCCAAGAAATAAAGAGATCGGATCCAGATTTTTCTTATGAAACTTTCGGATAAGCTATAGATAAGGTGTTGAAGCTGAATTTAATTGTTGCCGATAAGGAGAATGTCATCGACATTGATAAGAATATAGACAACAATCGAGTCTTCATGATTTAATAAGAGAGACGGAATGACACTGTTGTGTTGAAATCTAAACTTCAATAAATAAGTTGAAAAAGTCTCTAACCATTCACGAGAAAATTGCTTATGAAACTTTCGGATAAGCTATAGGTGGTTCGATTGTGGTCGAGGAGGTGTTTGGTGGCAAGAGAGCTCTAGTTTCTCTTTCTTCCTTCTCTTCCTTGTCTTCCTTGCTTGAGTCCCTTTTTCATAAAAAATGAGGAGTCTATTTATAATTTTCTAAGAGTGATATGGCTAGTAAATAGGGAGGAGATCATGTGTATGTTGAGAGTGTTTTGAATGGACAGCCGACATCGACTCCTTTGATCATTATACAGAGCATTTGAGTACTCTAATGATGTCAAAATTCATCAATCTTTGGCTCATTGGATTCTTATCGTCGAGCAGCTCGATTTGACTATAAGCATTGAACGTTTGGAAACTATTTTGTCATCCAATTTATAGCTTGAACCTTCTAAATGCGCTTTGAATCTTCGATTTGGTCCCATTTGGGCTAAGATTGAGTCGAATTTGGTGTCGTTGGGTTCGTCTTTTTGAGACGTCTAGTTCGAATATAAGTTTGCTGAAATCGAAGTTCAGAAGGTCCAAATTTAGTTTCAAAAGTTTCCAACTTGATTTTGTCTCAATATTCGTGCATAATCAAGATAATTTTTTATGGCATATCTTATCGATGTCAAATTGACGGCAAATTATTGCATCCTGTTACCAGACGCGGAGATAGGTCCGAATATTAATAAAATATTATTTTAAATTAAGCGTGTCAAAAGCGCAAGTAAAGCGCAGGTCAAAGCGCAGTCAAAAGCACAGGTAAAGCGCAACTAAAGCACAACTAAAGTGCAACTAAAGCGCAAGTCAAAAGCACAGGTGACGTGGCAAATTTTTATTGGATGTCCGAACCTATTTTCCGCGTCCGGTCAGGTGACCGGATGCAATAATTTGCCCAAATTGACATGATATGTTTGCGTACATGAAGGAAGAAGTTCGATTGACAGCACAATACTAATTATAATTTATTTGGCGTTCGCATAACATGGAAGCTGCAAATTATATAAAATTAAACTTTATAATATATTTTTAATTTGGTTTCAATCAGCGGCATATGGTCAACCCTCCATCGACCGCAACCACCTGACCGGTAATATAAGAAGCTGAAGGCATGCACAGAAACGCCGCCAGTGCCGCCACCTCCTCCGGTTCGCCGGCGCGTCCCAACGGAATCCCAAAGCTTTCTATCGTCGGAGCATTCTCTTGTTTAAAATACTGCAAGTTAATGAAACGTCAATTAGTATAAAAGCAAATGTCTAAACCCTAATTTGAATTTTATACTAATTAATTGATCATTCTCACCCGTTCTGCTAATGGAGTTAGAATTGGACCCGGGGCGATGCAATTGGATCGGATGTTGTCTTGTGCCCACTCCAAAGCCAGATTTCTCGTCAATTGGTTCATTGCACCTGACCAAGATTAATGCATAATATACATATCTATCTCACTAATTAGAACAACTTAATTGATATGTAATTAATTAATGAAGATAAGGAACAGGGGAAGTAACGTACCTTTAGTGAGACCGTACACGGTTGAAATTGGAGTGGCGACGAGCCCTGAAACGGAGGAGATGAAGACGATGCTGCCGGCGCCGGAAGCCTTGAGAAGCGGGTGACAAAGTTGGCTGAGGTGAAGAGCTGATTCCAAATTGGTGGCCATCAGAAATGAGTAATCCTCTAAACTACTTTCAAGGGCTGTTTTCATTATCGAAGTTCCTGTGTTATTAACCTGCACGCACAGTACAGTTTTATATATATTTGAGAGCATTCTCAACAACAAGTATAGTTAGCCGTATCTAAGAAGGGCTAACTTACAAGTATGTTGAGGCTCCCTTGGAAGAGAGAAGAAACTGTGGCGACCAATTTCTCCCTCTCTGCTCGAGAGGAAACATCACAAACTGAAGCTGTGACATCAAGTTTCAAGCTAAGCCAGTGCTGAAGGGATTTATCAAGCTCAACTTGATTCCGAGCACAAGTGTGCACCTTTGCTCCGAGCCTGGCCAGCTCTTCTACTATCGCTTTCCTGAAATATTAATTCATATATCATCATCCATCAATGATTGTTCAAGTGTCAAGAAGGGAAAGACAAGGAAAAATTCATAAATTAACCCGATTCCTTTAGAGCCACCGGTGACCAAAGCAGTGGCTCCATGAAGAGACCATCTCTTCTCCATCTCTCTCTCTCGCTGGTTCACCACAAGCTTGCTGTTTGGGGCTTAATCTAAAGGTGCATGGGAAGCTGCTCAGATATTTATAGTGCACCCGACCCGACGCAGACTGATGCAGACACATGCAGCAAATGTAGCGTGGACATCTATCCATTCCATACACGCAAGCGTTTGTTAAGTTGTGACTAAGCAGTATAAGAGCCATCAGGGATGAAATTTCCCTAAAAAACATACAGGGATGACCCGATCGATATTTGCTGAAACGCAAGCCATGACATGGCAATTTGACTCAATTTTACTTTTTCATGTAGGATTTTAGACTGCTTTCTGCCAAAAAATCATTGAGGATAATCTCCTCAAAAGTATTAATTAATCAGTAGTCTTTAATTAGCCAAAAAAGCCCAATTAGCTAAAGGGCCCGATTCCATTTAAAACCCATGTCGAAGCTTCTTGTTCAGGGTTGATAAAGCTCGTATAATATAATTAAAGTCGTGAGGCCCATGACCAAAATTAATTAAAGGCCCTAATTAATTATTAAGCTAATATAATTTATAATTAATTTGCAGGTTTCATAAGTTAGTGAGTCATCATTGTATATGGCTTTATGAAAAAAAAATTTAAGGCCATAATTAGCTATGAACTATCAGAATAAATAGTGATAATGTTTTTGAATTTGTATCAAGCCAAAAGTGAAAAATAAAACTTATTATTTCTTTCTTCTTCTCTTTTCTGTTTTCATTTTAGTCTTTTCTTGCTCCAAAAAGCCTATTCATTCCAACATATTTTTCTTATAAATATTATTAATAAGTTGGTTAAACCTCTTCAATATACACTGGTTGGTAAGCTCATGGCTAGGTATCCTTCACCACAATCCATAATAAAATTTTCCTTCAATCAAGCATCTCATTGGAGAATTCTCAGTGGCTCTTCTCAACCACAAATATATTATTTTGAAATTCTTTTGGAGGGCTATAAATCTAATTTTCCCAATAGATATTGATAATTTTTTTCATTCGCAATCCACAAATTTAACGTCTGACAATTAATTGCTATGTATCAATTTGACTCCACCGGCTTCATATTAATGACCTTACGGACAACCACATTCTCCTTCGTGGCCGCAGCCCATGACGGCCCTTTATCAAAATCTACATCCGCTCAGACACACCCCCTACACGTATTTCATTAGTTCCATCTCTCCAGCATCCCAAGTGGCCAAGGCTGCCTCGGACTACATCCACATCAGCAAATCATGCAAACTAAGCTAAACTACAACAACCTTAGCCCGTTTGTTTTCTCGAAACTTACTTATCTTTGCACTTCTTGTTAAGATGACCCATAACCATAAATTGTCATTTCCCTGTCGAATTCTAGTGACTTTAACCTCGTTGTTTTCTTTAGTACCACGTCAAATGTTTAGGGTTCGATAAAATCTGTAACAGGAGCCATTGATGACTCTTGTTCATTTAGTAGTCTATAAAATAAGAAT